AAAAAAAAAAAAAAAAAAGAAAAAAAGAAGTTGTCATTGTTGTTTAGTAGGCCCAGACCAGATGCCTGTCTTAAAAAAGCACTGGAAGGTGATTTTTTTTTTCAATCACAATGTATGGACATTGTGCTGGTTTTCACTTTTCTTAGAAAATGCAGAGGTAATTGTTTTGAGAAAACATTTGAAAATACTGTAGGAGTATCTTTTATAGGAGAACATAATCTCCTTAGCATATCTGAGATATCTTAAGGGTGAGTTTGTGATTTGGTGTGTTCAGTTTTCTTTTAACAGTATGCTGATATATGTATGCCATGTGATTGTGTCATCTGTAGGTTTTCTAAGCTTCTGTTTCTCTCTTACCCTTCTATTTTAATGTTCCCAAATGAGTAAGAAAGAAAACTGATATGTCAACTTTTCTTTTTAATAATAATTTTGATGCCGAGCACGGTGGCTCACGCCTGTAATCCCAATCTCTGTGGAAGGCTGAGGAGGGAGGATTGCTCGAGCTCAGGAGTTCGAGACTCGCCTGAGTGAAAGTGAGACCCTGACTCATTAAAAAAATTAAAAAACCCAGCCAGGTGCCACGGCGAGCACCTGTAATCCCAGCGGCTTCGGAGGCTGAGGCAGCAGGATGCCCACAGCCAGAGTCTGAGGTTGCAGTGAGCTCCGACGCCATTGCCCTCTGCTCAGGGCACAGGGTGGAACTCTGTCTCGACAAAATAATAATAATAATAATAATTTTGACAAATCAATGATGGAAATGTAAAATATTGGCTGAAATTGGTTGAGTCTTTGAACTGTTTGAGGATTTTAGACTTGTCACATTTTTTAAAATTAGGGTTAATAATAAGGTGACTTACGCTACTTAATTTTCTGATCCAAGTAATTTACCATCTAAGAGGCATGTATTGTAAAAGAAGGCACTGTGGGCCAGGCACAGTGGCTCACACCTATAATCCTAGCACTCTGGGAGGCTGAGGTGGGCAGATTACTTGGGCTCACCAGTTTGAGACCAGCCTGAGCAAAAGCGAGACCCCTGTCTCTACTAAAAATAGAAAAACTGAGGCAAGAGGAACCCTTGAGCCTGAGTTGGAAGTTGTTGTGAGCTATGATGCTACTGCACTATACCCAGGGTGACAGCTTGAGACTCTTATCTCAAAAAAAAAAAAAAAAGGCACTGTATTCTCACACATTGTGTCGTATGTTAATCTAGGTCTCACCAATGTATAATGTTGGATTTAATTGTATGGTTTGGTTTATAAGTAATTTAAGTTTTATGGGATAGTATTTGGAGATTTTACTTATGTAAATAATCGCAAATGTATAATAAATCACCACCACTTAGCCTATTTGAGATAATGTTCAGAAAGAGAAACATAGCTGGGATTTGAACTCAGGTCTTTCTGACTTTAAATCCTATATTTAAATCTGGGTAGCTTGCTTTCCAGGCGGCCAGATTAAAGTAGTAGCACAGGCCTCCAACCTTGTGGAGTTTCCTCAAGGTGTGGATATAACCCCCCTTTGTTTATGAGTCTTGGCTGGGCTGATCTTTTGTATAGAGCAACAGTCCTCAACCTGTTTGGCACCGGGACCTGTTTCATGGGGAACATTTTTTTCTTTAAATACTAAGGAAATATTATTGTTTTTGTTTTTGAGACAGAGTTTTAAGCTATCATCCTGGGTAGAGTGCTGTGACATTATAGCTCACAGCAACCTCCAACTGGGGCTCAAGGCATCCTCTCGCCTCAGTTTTTTTATTTTTAGTAGAGACGGGTTGTCACTTTTGCTCAGGCTGGTCTCAAACTTGTGAGCTCAAGCAATCCACCTGCCTCGGCCTCTCAGAGTTCTGGGATTACAGGGATGAGGCACTGTGCTGGCCAGGGAATGGATTTTTATCTCTGAATTAGTTTTGGTGCATTTGCACATGAAGATAAAGTGTTAAAATATTAAAATTCTTAAAATTGCATGCTTCCGTGAAGAACTTAAATTATTTAAATGTTCTGTGTTTTGAACAGTGATTCTGAAAATATATTGTGAGTCATGAGCAGTAAAATAGGATTCTGTTGTAGAGGAACATGAAAGAAGAAATTAAGCATACTTCAAGACAAACTAATGCACCATGTCAGAAATCAATAAGCACATATTAACTACTAAGAAAAAGATGAGTGTGGGTGGAAAGGACATGAAAAAAAATCATCAAGTGTAAAGCATAGAGAATTTTGGCAGATTTTTATGGAAAGAATAAATGAATGTTAATTTAGGTTTATAGAAAAACTTGATAAATTATGTGGCTGCTTATGAAAAATGTTCTGGAAGGTCTTTCAGTTTTATGAGAAATAAAAATACACTGACTTCAGAAAACAGCTGGCTGGGCAGTGGCTTATGTCTTTAATCCCAGCAATCTGGGAGGCCAAGGTAGGTGGATTGCTTGAGCTCAGGAGTTCTAGACCAGCCTAAGTCAGAGCTAGGCCCTGTCTCTACTAAAAATAGAAAAACTAGCTAGGTTGTGATGGGTGCCTGTAATCCCAGCTATTTGGGAGCCTGATGCAGGAGGATCATGGGAGCCCAACAGTTTGAGGTTGCTGTGAGCTGTGATACCATGGCATTCTACTCAGAGTGACAGAGTGAGACTCTGTCTCAGAAAACAAAACAAAACACTAGAAGAGATACTTTTCCTTGTTCATAATATTGGTGATTAACACTGTTGATAGAAATTTAATGACAGCGTTGGCAGTGATGTGGTGGAGCGCTCCACAGGTAGGTTAGAAATGATTATCTTTTTGTAATGCAATTTCATAACATGAAATTATGTATTTTTGACCCAGTTATTTTCATAGTTTATCTTCAGGAAACAATCACAAATGTGTGGAAAGATTTCTCTAAGAATATTTCTTACAATTTTATTTAAAATAGAGAAAACTTTGAAATAACCAAAATGTTGAAATAATAACCAAAATATCCAAAAGGAGGATTTGGAAATAAAAATTGGTGCACTATAAAATAGGTTACCATGTATTTGCAATGGTGTCATGTTAGAATATTTAATAATAATGGAAGATATTAGCTAAATTGATTTTTTAAAAAAAGCCCTAAAGCAGTATATACAGCATAACCCAGTCTTTTTTTTTTTTTCTTGAGACAAGAGTCTCATTGTGTCACCCTTGATAGAGTACCATGGTGTCACAGCTCATAGCAACCTCAAACTCTATAGCTTTCCAAGTAGCTGGGACTACAGGCACCTGCGATTGTTTGGCAGGCCTGGGCTGGGTTCAAACCCACCAGCCTCAGTGCATGTGGCTGGTGCCCTAGCTGCTGAGCTACAGGTGCTGAGCTTAAACCCAGTTTTATAAAACAAAAATTATATGATGTTTACATAGAGAAAAGGTTACACAGGTATCCCAGATACTAATAGTGGTTAACTTTGAATGTTGTGCTTTGTGTATTTTCCTCATTTTCT